AATGTGTCATTTTGCTGTGTCCTTGAAATATTCATACACGGTACAGTACAGTGGTTTACGAAGGTTGTTCACGTATTCGAGGAATTAGAGTGCCAGGGACATGTTTCTAATTCAATAGTTAATTAATAGTTGGAAACAAATAATAAAATCATTTATAAATCATGGCAGTTTAGTAAAGCAGTGTAATAATTCCCTATATATTCACACTGTGTAATACAAATCACGATTTTTCCAAGAAAGCACATAAACCTTTTGACATAATGGCTGACTTTATTGCAAGATAAGGCAGTATCTCGCCATATTGCGAATTAACACAATACTTTTTAAATTATTATAAAGGATATCAATTCAAATATTTCTGGTAGTTTCAGATGTCGGCTGAAACGCATGTGTGATATAAAGCTGCATATATGTGATACTTTCAATCCCACCAACCGCTATCGGCTTCTGCCTTAAAGAAGTAATCTCGGTAAACTTTTTAGTTTCATTAAATTCTGAAACCTATTAAAATAAACAAACCATATCTAGCAATTGGAATTGCTTCGTTTTTGTTACATGGATGAATCGTTTTTAATAATCCATCCATCTTACCATTTTCGAAACCTTCTCTCGAGACTTGTAGTGTATCCTCCGTTCATAAAGTATTCACCCACGAATTAAATTACTCTTTTTATGAACTTAAAGCGCGGTGGTCGTCGCGCAGCGCGTGTTCGAATTTCATGTAAATAAACAATCTATTTTACACGCGTTGTATACGTCGCTGTGAGTCCCATATCGAACAGGACGCGGTGCGACTACTGCCGCCCTTTAAATGTCCCTTTTTTTTTTATTGATGAACGTGAATGTAAAATTATAGCATTTATTATTCCAAATCGATCATCTTCTTTTTCCATAAGAATGTCATATTGTCACATTACACGACAATTTCATGCGTTCTTGTATAAAATTATTCGTTGAACGGCACGGATACATTACAGTGAGAGATCAGAAAGAAGATACAGAATCTGCTTTATGTAGGCTGACTCAAAAAGAGCGGTTTGCATGATAAGATTTTATCGAGACCGGAAATAATAGAGGGAATTTCCGTTCTGTGCTGTTATCTTTTATATGACAGGAATTAAACAAAAGTCGTTCAAATGTAGTTTGCTCCGAACTGATTTCATCAATTGAATTTGACACAGAAGTCATCGACCGAGTAATTGAAAAAAAGACACATTAAATCATCACATCACAGTAGAACCTATATATTATATATCATCCATTCTCCAAATAGATTTGCTCAGTGTACACATACGGTATTTTATCCACAATAGTGTATGTGTTATTTTATTTAACATAGTGTATCTGTTATTTTATTTAACATAGTGTATGTGTTATTTTATTTAACATAGTGTATGTGTTATTTTATTCAGCATAGTGTATGTGTTATTTTAGTCACCATAGTGTATGCGTTATTTTATTTAACATAGTGTATGTGTTATTTTATTCACCATAGTGTATATGTTATTTTATTCACCATAGTGTATGTGTTATTATTTAACGTAGTGTATGTGTTATTTTATTTAACATAGTGTATCTGTTATTTTATTTAACATAGTTGTATGTGTATGCGTTATTTTATTTAACGTAGTGTATGCGTTATTTTATTTAACGTAGTGTATGTGTTATTTTATTTAACGTAGTGTATGTGGTATTTTATTCACCATAGTGTATGTGTTATTTATTTAACGTAGTGTATGTGTTATTTTATTTAACATAGTGTATGTGTTATTTATTTAACATAGTGTATGTGTTATTTTATTTAACGTAGTGTATGTGTTATTTTATTTAACGTAGTGTATGTGTTATTTTATTTAACGTAGTGTATGTGTTATTTTATTTAACGTAGTGTATGTGTTATTTTATTCACCATAGTGTATGTGTTGTTTTTCATTTAACATAGTGTATGTGTTATTTTATCCATAATAGTGTATGTGTTATTTTATCCATAATAGTGTATGTGTTATTTTATATTTAACGTAGTGTATGTGTTATTTTATTCACCATAGTGTATGTGTTATCTTATTTAACGTAGTGTATGTGTTATTTTATTCGCCATAGTGTATGTGTTATTTTATTCGCCATAGTGTATGTGTTATTTTATTTGCCATAGAGTATGTGTTATTTTATTCACCATAGTGTATGTGTTATTTTATTCACCATAGTGTATGTGTATGTGCATGCGTTATTTTATTCACCATAGTGTATGTGTTTTTTATTCACCATAGTGTATGCGTTATTTTATTCACCATAGTGTATGCGTTATTTTGTTCACTATAGTGTATGCGTTATTTTATTCACCATAGTGTATGCGTTATTTTATTCACCATAGTGCATGTGTTATTTTATTCACCATAGTGCATGTCACCATAGTGTATGTGTTATTTTATTCACCATAGTGCATGTGTTATTTTATTCACCATAGTGCATGTGTTATTTTATTCACCATAGTGCATGTGTTAATTTATTCACCATAGTGCATGTGTTATTGTATTCACCATAGTGTATGCGTTATTATATTCACCATAGTGTATGTGTTATTTTATTCACCATAGTGTATGTGTTATTTTATTCACCACAGTGTATGCGTTATTTTATTCACCATAGTGTATGTGTTATTTTATTCACCATAGTGCATGTGTTATTTATTTAACGTAGTGTATGTGTATGCGTTATTTTATTCACCATAGTGTATGCGTTATTTTATTCACCATAGAGTATGTGTTATTTTATTCACCATGGAGTATGTGTTATTTTATTCAACGTAGTGTATGTGTTATTTTATTCAACGTAGCGTATGTGTTATTTTATTCAACGTAGTGTATGTGTTATTTTATTCAACGTAGTGTATGTGTTATTTTATTCACCGTAGTGTATGTGTTATTTTAGTCAACGTAGTGTATGTGTTATTTTATTCACCATAGTGCATGTGTTATTTATTTAACGTAGTGTATGTGTATGCGTTATTTTATTCACCATAGTGTATGCGTTATTTTATTCACCATAGAGTATGTGTTATTTTATTCACCATGGAGTATGTGTTATTTTATTCAACGTAGTGTATGTGTTATTTTATTCAACGTAGCGTATGTGTTATTTTATTCAACGTAGTGTATGTGTTATTTTATTCAACGTAGTGTATGTGTTATTTTATTCACCGTAGTGTATGTGTTATTTTAGTCAACGTAGTGTATGTGTTATTTTATTCAACGTAGTGTATGTGTTATTTTATTCAACGTAGTGTATGTGTTATTTTATTCACCATAGTATATATGTTATTTTAATCAACGTAGTGTATGTGTACATGTGATTTTTATTCAATAGGATACACAATACCGACATTTCGCGTCACGCTGAAATAAATTCGAAACATCAAAAAAAAAAAAATCAATTCACATTCATTTTGTCTTGTTATAGGGAAGTAAAACGTTTTTTTTTCGATGCTATAAAACAGTTATTAGGTATACCATAATAATTTTTAAGTTCCTATATTATCGTCTACACCGCGTCTTATTGTGACGTGGGACCATAAAGACGAACGATCAATATTTGTAGAGAAATGACTCAAATGGAAAACACACTATCTAAGTAATTTAATCAATGGCAATCACGAGTGAGCAATCGAGCTGTGACGTATACCACAAATTAACTATAAAAATGTCCATTTACATAAGACACACATACATATCTAATCGACGGCAAGTAACATAGTGCCCGTTAATTTGAGAGTTCAAACATTCAAGGTAATACTTGTTTAAAACCAGCGTCGATAATAAACCACATGTCAATAACGTGCATTAACTTTTCGACACATGATTGTGTAGCGCCCCCAATGTTGATAATGGAAGACAGAAGATTCAGCGTTGAGCAATCGTTCATTCGTACATTGTCGTTGTGATACCGCAAACACATGTAACAAAAAATGGCAAAATTTACTTTATATTACTTTTTCGTGTCACTTAATTTCCATTGAAGTAATATTCAAAACAAACTAGCCGAATATATTATAATATTCTCTTACACAATAAGGATAACATCATTAATAGTGATAGAGATACATAGCGACAAATTCCCTCAACTAGTTGATGTCATGACTCCATTGAACTGTAAAGAGCATTTATCATACCCATAGACCATGACATGATTTATATATCAAATTATAAAAAATACGTTAAGAAAATGGATAAGTAATAACATGGGAATAGAAGAATATTAACATGATCGGTCGTCAGGGAATTTCATTCATTGACGACAACGTGAAGATTCCTGCTACCGAATTGCAACTTATACGCACCGCCGGCGCCATCACATACATACGGTATACAAGCCGCTGGATCGAGTCAATTTGTTTGAAATCAAGGCAATTACTAATGATTCGGGATGTGACTTTACGGTTTATATCAGCTCACCGTGTTATACGATGGTTCGAATCGTTGGTTGCCGTAGCGTTGTTAGGGAAGTCAGTTTTAGGAACAGTTCAGTTCAGCTGCAACGAGTGTGTATTTGTCGACAGATCGCGCCAAGCGAGAAACGAGATAATAAACATAATACATATACAACGTTTGTTTAGCTTTAATCATTTCGCTGATTTGTGTATGTATTAACCATTAATAATTTATTTTCAAAACAACAATTATTATTATAATCTATAATCTGCGATTAACGTCATACAGGTTCAACCGCTTTGAAACGTTCCATATTGAATGTCGTGGCGCTCTATAACATTTCATGTTTTTATTGGATGTTGGTCATATAATCGCATTCTGCTTATACGCATTGCATAAAAAGTTCGTGACAGCCTTGATGAATCGGTGCCATTAGACTGTATGTCAGAAGACAGAGCACCATTGGGCCACCTATTTGCTGGTTTGATTCGTCACCATCGTTACAGTCATTTGCATATAATTACCATAACCAGTCTATAGTCGGTGTTCGCCGGGAGAACCGCACTGGTGTCCTCTGATGAGTGAGCATTGCCCACCTGTCACATTATACCGTTGTTGTTGAATCAAAGCCTATCAGTAAGAACGGCTTGGAACTGTCTATGCCAACTACACTATGATTGCTCGTAAGCCTCGACAAGGGAAAAACACGTACGGCGACAACTCTTACTCAAAAAGGGAGAATCAGCGTTTATGGAGTATTTTGCTTCTTCTTCTCACGTTGGCCGTGCATGGAGTTAGTACTGATGCTAATACAGAGGAAGACGGCGACCACTCATCCCATAACGTAACGTCGACATCAACATTTTTGAACACGCTTTTAAAGACCTATGACAAAAGAATACGACCTAACTTTGACGGTAAGCATTGTTTAATATATACATAGCTATGACCTTGAGAGCATGTAGATAACAGTACCAAAACACTTAAACAAATTAATCGCAGCATTGTGAATAAAGTCAAGTTGTCTAATTATAAACATTGCAGAATGATTCCCAGTGGACTTTCACCGCGCCAGTCACCGAGTGCGGTGTCATGAAGCGTTGTAGTAAAATTCAATTTTAGTAGTATGTTAGCAATTAAGTTCTTGAAGCTGTAATAAATGTGTTTAATGTAATAATATATATCGACCACGAGAATGTATGCTCCAAGGCTGTGATGTAAGGGGTCTCTTCTCAAACGCATATACAAGGCAAGCAGAAGAATACGCTGCAGTTGAAAGACCTCACGGTAAAACAATTCTATAAATTCACTTGATAAACACTTATGTTAATGAAATAAATGTTCACTATATATTACAAATAATGTTATTTTCAATATTTGTGTGCAGAGTAATGGCTTGAAAGTTGCATACGTCATAATAAAAAAATAATAGTAATCATATTTTTAGAATGATCATACTTATCTAAAATTGTTGTGAATTTTGTATTGAGGTTATGATTACATGAATCTGATAGTTATTACAGGTTTGTAAATGTAATCATTGATGCGTTGAAATTACATAATGTTCTCAAGTCGCTACAGATTAGATAGTTACAGGTTAATATGATGATCATTAGTATCTAGAAGACAATCAGTGAGATGTTAAAATGCTGATGCGGAAATTTGTATATCGCTACACAGTGCTAGGATGACATGTGATCTTGAATCATTATAATGTCGCCAATTCGCTTAGCTTGGGTAACCGGTAAACTATATGTACTCGTTCACTTTTATATTTCCAAAAACGAATGGCATGTCGACCGAGGAGAGACCACAATCTTTCTTCAAAAGTTATACGTATTGTAATGACATCAACATTTGTTGTAAAGACCGCCATACTGCACAAACATGGCGATATTACGAAAAGACATCGGTGGACGTGGGAACTTAACTCACATACAGTCAGCACTTATTCCTAAATCAGCCTTCAACAATGGTATGCCAAACAGGTAATCAGACAATGATATCAAACTACTGACGTGATCACGTGGTTACCATGCCTAAAAAGCCCTTGAAAAATTGCACCACATAAGACGGACAGTAATTTTATAAAAAAAGTAAGGTATGTGTTTATCATAGGATGGATGTACGCCTAAATATGTGGGTTTTTTACCATAAATATTATAACATGATTTCCAAGGTTTCTCCATAAACTATAAGCTAATACAGTAATACTCTAATAATACTGTAATAATATTTATATGTGTATTGCACCACTATCCAACGTACTCCGAGTATAGATATATATTTATTTTCAATAGTAAAACGACATGCACATATGGGACATCAATATTACTTGTGTAACATGTTGTATATTTACAATGTGTCTTGTGTGAGTTTGTAGTTATTGAAAGCACACTTTAAGGCTTTATTCAATGATGTCAAGTCAGTTTCACTTAGATTGATCAGTTTACAATCTAGAGCGGAGATTAAACGCTGTTCATATTGCCAGCTGAACATCTGAGACCCCCTCGACCATCTCAAATGTGCCCCCAGTTAGTCAGTTTATTTCCTAGGGTTCAATTCATATGAAATTAACACATGAAAATCACCTGCTCCTAACAACAAATACAAATACTCGTTGTAAATGAACAAAATAATCCTGTGCCCGCAGTATTGTTTTGTCAAATTTCACCCAAATTATGTGCAACCCAATGCAAATTCGAAACAACACGGCCCAGAAGGTGTTTCCGACCGCGCCTTAAATTGACGAGCTGAAAATAGTATGTATCAGTCATATATCAAATCAATTTTAATGAATCCAATAGAGACTCTAATTATAAGAATGCGTCCCGAATGTCAAAACATGTTCCACTGGGTATTCTATAAATCGTATTTTCTCACCGTAGTAAATACAGGACATACTATAGAGTGAAATTTAATAATTTACATCACAGCTTTATTAATAATTTATCTAAACACTGATTGATGCAATATACATTTGTTTACTTACGTGAGACAGTTTCGTATCGATTCGTTCGATTTAATTAAAAACTGTGTTGTTGATTTAAGTAAAATAATGTAACTATTGAATATCCTGCTATTGTAAACATGATGCGTTTGCTTTTACAGTACAAAAGATGATGGTTTCTAATTACTCGAAATATTATTTTGATACCAAATCTCCTCCTAGACAAACGTTTCAGTCTAACTAATCGACAACCTTACGTCTATTCTATCGTATTACCATCTTTGAGCGAGCCGGAAATATTTCACGTCAAATCAGATTGGATCAATCACGTAAGCAGAACATTGGCACTACGCACCTGTGACACAGTCAACCTTCCAAGTGCAGCTAAACAATAGCATATACTCATAATGTGTATGAATTCATATGAATTGTATAGTTAAAGAGCATGCAGAGAGAGAAATAGCTTTATGTGAAACAACCAAGCAAATAATCTGTCAAAGTGCTACAATATACTCAATTGATAATGTTCCAGCTTTTCGTGATGTGTTCGTGCTCGGTTTATTTAACACATCACAGTAAGATTATTTTTCCTTGAAATGTCGTTTCAATAATCACATGATTACTAAAATAACTATATAAACCTGTTAATAAACCTTATCGTAACCTGTTCTCCGACCTTTTCTTATTTTTAAGGTCATTTAAAGATATAGAAAGTGTCACAGTGTAAGGCCTGTTTATTGCTAATGAGAGGGCACCAACAGAACTCACACTGGACAGGGGGTTCTTTCACTGCTAGTATGGGGTAGGCAAGACAATAGTACTGGAAATGATATACACATACACCAAAATATCGAGTTAAAGCTCCTGGCTTTAATACCTCTTAAAATAATTACAAGAAATAAGGCACAGAAAAATACAATGAATAAGTCACTAAATAAGGGGATTGCTTAGGGAAGTGTACATTGGTGATAACTCGCAGTTCCAGGATGTAGTAATGGACGACAGTCAATGGCTTCTGCAACACAACCACGAAGAAATACAGGAGTCTTGCTTGGAGAGGAACGCTCATATTCTGGAGGGCACCTCTGAATACAGGAGATCGCAGAACAGTTCATACAAGTCTCACAGAAAGATGGTTGTAGCCTGTATGACTTGTCACAGAAAGTGTCTAAATAGTGAAGTTGACATATCTGTTATCTGTTCAGTTAAAGAACATCGTAGTAAAACAAAACTATCGCTATTCTCAATCTCAGTCAGACTTTAACGTGGGCATGGATTAGTTTCAACATATTCACAAAATAGGTTTGATGTGAACGTATAGGATTGCGATCATTATGCGATAAATGAACAACTAAACCAAGGCATCCTTCCTTTGTGTGTAACTGAAAATACGAGTCACCCAAGGCGCAATAAACCAATTTATTTCACCATTAAATAATCTGTCCAACTTATCTTAAGTCGGGTTTTATAAAGTAGTAATTACGTTATCTCATATATGATGACAAATTCAATGTGATAAAGCATTGTAATAATTTTTAATATGTGTATTAAAAAGTATTTTGGTCAAATGGGAGCTTTTGATAATCTCAGTATGCTTGATTGTTATTCGTTACATTAATGTATTCAATATTCTGTTCGTTTCGGGTATATGTGATAAAGCCATACATTATATAATTCTCCCAACCAAAGTATAATTGGTGATTACGTTAGGGATTAAATTTACCCAAGGGACGGTTACAATGTTACCAGTGCATCGCTAAGCCATAAGTATATTAACGGCTACAAATTATAATCTCTTTAACCGCATAAGTCAATGAATTATATATGTGTTCGCAAAAATATATCGTGCATACAAATAAGATAAACGCTCCACGAACCATGTTTTCGGCGTTAGTATGTAGATATGGGAGATGAGAGGATATCACATTCGTGATACTGTAATACAACATTTAATAAAAAGTAATGCTTATTCTTGTTAACACTAGAATGTCTATGTCGAATGCGACGCACCACTCACTAAGCTGCTATTACAAGGTTTTATCACATTTCACATTTGTTTTTACGCATGCTTTGATTGTTTGATACTCGGTCACATGACATTGAATAAAAATGGATGTCACATGGTATATTGCTCGCCAAGTGGACATTACATAGGATATTTCATGGATGACGTCATGAAAATACTGTGCAACGATATTGCACATACAAAATTGTCGTTCGTAGCGCCGTTGCTCTCCCGGCTGTTTTCTTTCGGGGTTATAATTGTTGTTATACATAAAATTAGATATGTAATTCCATTCGGCATGCCTATTTCGTTAATGTAAGGCACATCTAACCTCGACATGGATAATTATATTACGTTCGTTTTTATTTCAAGAAGTTTGTGTAACTGCCCGTTGCAATAATGATATTAATAATACGATAATTACATGTTAATGTACAATACCCTGGGATATTCGTGCGTCGACTTATTTTCAAGCAGATTGTTTTAATTTCAAGAACGTCTCCTTGAAGCATAATTATTTTGGAATAAGATGCATAAGAGCCAATTGCCATGATCATCACGCACGTATCGTAGTAGCTTCAGCATATAGGTGCAAGGCCTGCTTATTGCTATTGAGAGGGGCCACCCACGTAACTCACAATGGGCAATAGACAAGACAATAGTACTGGAAATGAAATACACATGCACCAAAATATCAGGTTAAAGCCCCTGGCTTTAATATCTCTCAGTAATTACAAGAAACAAAGCACAGAAAAATACAATGAGTACATTCATTGAAATATGGGATTGCCTAGGGAAGTGTGCATTAGTGATAACTCAGTTCCAGGATGTAGAGATGGATGACAGTCAATGGCTTCTGCAACACAACAACGAAGAAATTTTTGCTTGCAGAGGAACGCTGTTCTTCTGGAGGACACCGCTGAAAACATAAGATCGCAGAGCAGTTCATACAAATCTCACAGTAATATGATTGAAGCCTGTATCAGTTGTCTCACAATATTGCAGCTGTAGCAACACACAGAGAACTCAGTTGAAATGATGGACCCCAACTGTCCTCGGTCATATTTATAGGCGTAAATGGTCCAGATTTAGGGTCACCACCTGGGTTTCCACATGAGCTAATCAGAATGTGGTCTTGCTAGCAGCTGTCTCACGTAGGCAACTCCGTAGATCGTAAACATCCTTTGTTATGTAAATCACCTGGTAGTTTCCAATTTTCCTTTCCTTATCACTAGGCATTGCACATTTCTATTTGCAGAGTTTGAGGTGAGTTAAGGGTGCTGACAGAGGTGATTACACATAATTGCATTATATAATATAATGTCAATAGTTCACGTTTTACATAGTTATATTTGTGAATTTAAAATTGAATTTAAAAATGCAATTCAAGGTACGAGTCAGCATGTTATGTTTTCATCACGACAACTTAAATGACTATTACCTTCTAAAACATGTACGTGTTAACAATCTTCAATGATTAGTATTATACGCCATGAATTCTGCTAAAATTAGTTTGACATCCCGGTTAAGTTGTATACAGCATCACAGCATACGTCTGCCAGATACTCGCATTTTTCCGATATGAGATTTGATACTCAATGCGACGGCAAATTGTTTAGAATCTTTCGGTATAAAAATTCACAATATCAACTAATTGCCACAGTATTTAACAGCTGAGAACACATTCTCGAAGACTCCACTATAAAATACAATCAAAACGTCACTACTCAACAAAGAACAAATTTGTGATTATGGCAGGATGCTATTGACCTGTTTATGAATGTTAATTCTGACAAGTCGTTCGAAAATGATTTGTCGGGAGTTTTGGAAGTCTATGAATACCAATGTTGAAAACAACTCGATCCAACTATCTGTTCTCATTAGCGTACATGAATCGATTTTGTAATGTGTTCTGTGATTTGATAACATTAATAGATCGACTGTGACGTTAAAATACTGTCCAATGGCGCGATGCGTAACATATGAACCGTGATTAAAAAGTGAACAGGCGCTGTCAAAGCAACGTTAATAATACACGGCTTCACAAATGAAGAATAGCTTACCACAGGGAATGCCCATATTGACAGGCTAGACGAATGAACATTTCAGGGTAATATGATTACCAAATGCAGACCCTATTGGGAATAACAACAATGTGTTATAATTGTTGTTTCGCACGCAGAAGATGTGAGTCATTCGACAGAAGAAAAAAATTCGCTGGAGTTACTACCTGTAGGATCGCCATCGTCACGCACCCGCGCGCGCTGTACTTTGACATTCTTGTTTCGTCTGCCAATTGAATACATATATCTAGTTCGCACTGAATCATGAGTACATGTGTATATTGAAAATGCTATCGGATGTCTGTGTCGCCGGAGGCTCGTGTATTTCCATGTAGTCACTGTGTGCGTGTTCATTACAGATCATTATAAAATTATGATATAAATTTTTAGATTATATTACTATTTGGTTCTGTGATTAGCGCTTCCGCCTGCAGTAGCAAGGCGCTGTAGACGCTTCCGGTGTGGTTGTTATTTGTAATTATAAATTCATGCTAAGCTTGTAAACACTGTGATTCAAAATAGGGAGAGTATTTTGTGATGCGGAGTAATACATCCACTAATGTGAGCCGTTAAACTCGTTTTGGGAATTGATATAACTGCACGTTTATGTTTTTGTACCCTAAATCATATCAATCCATAACTAGTCAACATTAGTCTGTTTAATATATACAATTATTCTACATATGTTACCGTACCGCCATAGGTTACAGTGTGTCGTAATTTGCCGTATTTTACAGGGCATATTCATTGTACCATAATATGAAATGCGAAATCAGACAGTAGCGCGTCTGTCAATACTGCCGCTGTACTGTCTTCGTGCATAATTTGAGGTATCCTCGTAATAACCTCATATTATATTTAGAACACCTTGATAATACCGATAATAATTTTGATTTGTTATTTACTTTTCACACAGGTGACCCAGTGAATGTGACAGTAGATATGCTCATCAGCAGGATTGATAACATCAATGAAGTCACAATGGTAACTATTGTAATATTGTGATGCTGTTAGTCTGTGCTTCGTTGCGCTGCGTAAAGGTGTTGCGTTGCACTAAGCTGTGTAGTGTTATATTTCAAGAACTGTATCGCAGCGCACCTATTGTATGAAGTGTAATATCAGAAAATATCTCACATCAACACATGTTACGCATCGCCACCTGCCAGTGATGTCTCTACGTGATTGAACCAATCAATCGATAATCAATCATGTGGATGTCTTTGACGTCGGATATTCAGCATAAACACATCCTGCAAATGACTTTAGAACCCCGTTAATTGTACGCCATTTTGAACAGACTTTTCTCTGTTCCAATGAAGTGCGCATCTACTTACAGGAGCGAGGCATTTTCTCGTGGTTGCGAGTTTAAATTCATTGTTGCGTGTTTACATGTTCGTATGTGGTAGTTAGCTTCAACATGGTGGATCATGCATGTAAACTTAACTCTCCCTACATGGTTTGTCGATGTTGACTATACATCCTACGTCAATCTTACTTAGACCCGAATAATAAATACCATATGCTATGACTACTCCAGGTATATTGTTTAATTATTTTAAGAAAATAAAATAAATTGTGGATTTTATCATATTTGGACGGAATTAGGTTTAAATTAGAAGTCGCATTTCAAAACAACGCAAACAACACTCTCATCCAAAACGCTTTCTTTTGTTTCTGCTGAGCACACAATCAATATAATAATATAATATGATACAAGTATACACCTGCGTGGTGATTAGTATACACCTGCGTGGTGATTAACACCGCGAGTAGTCAATCGTCATCAGCGTCGGTGATGCGAGACATGCAATGGTGCTACTGGCCATAATTTCCCCGCTTCAGACTTCAAAGCAGCTGACACTAAAGCTTCAAAGTCGTTGTTGAGTTGTTGGTAATGAAGTCGTAAAGCAGGTGTGTTTCTGGCTTTTGGGTGATCAGTGTTAGCTGATGGTGAGAATTATGGTGTTGGCCTTGTCTATTACTTTACATTAAATTGAAGCAGCCAATGTATAGGTCAGGAACAACATAGGCGATGGGGTATTATTTCGGGCTACATCCCACTGTCCCGTGCTGATACCAATACTAAAACATCGTGCCTCGATGCAAAATATCGTGGTAGATCATGCAAGGCGATGATTTATTGTTCAAATAAAACAACATCGGGACTCTTGGCTAATTTTGCCTAGCATCGTTGTTGCTGAAAAGGCTCTGTAAATAAGTCAACACAGATTTAATTAGTTTGTTATTTGGGGTTTATCAACAATGTTAATTACGCGAACAAAACAAGAGTAGAATTTGCATAATCCAGAGTGACAGCTAAGTTTGCTATTTGATATAATAATAGAACTGTCACTTATTCATTGGTTCAACAGATTACGTTCATTTCCCACAATAGAACACCTTTCATTATAGTACATTGCCCATTAGTTCCTAAAAACAACTATGTATATTTCACCTTGTTTCAGTTTCTAAGAGTAACAAAAGCTACCATGATGGAAACTATGCGATTTAAATGCTAAACTAAATTTACAATCGTCTGAAGTGACTATGTAAAATACTTATTCTAGGACAGTTGTTTGTATATTCAAAGTATGTATGCTAGTCAGTAGCCAGTTAATGTAATTTGTATCTGTCAACAATTATCTCACTTAGATAATATAACTACACAATGTGTTAACAACATAATGCATACATGTGTCTGAAAATTAAAATCACAATTTAAGTGAATAATAATCGCATCAATATTTTATCTTTAACTTTTTACCGTTAATTTATATCTGTTTGCCAATTGTCACAAATTAACTGATTTACTCACGGGTGTAATCTGATTTATGAATTGAAACACAAGGGACCGTAATCCAATCAGAATTGATTGTACATGTGAACAGAATGATTGAATGCAAGTTTTGTGTGTGCAGATAGTGATAAATATAATTCAATATTTTCAATAACTTATGAATCCATCACATATAACGAGGTTAAGTTTATCATCTACTGTTCAATTGTCTCATCAATGTTTACATTTATCACAATCGACGACACATGTTGTGCGATGTGAATTGCATTTCATTCTTAAAAATTAAATATTATAAATAATATAAAGTGTATATGTACTCGGCTTTATGTTAAGATCATTACCATTTATTAACATCTACTTCATATTTCGTATTCTTCCTGTAAACTGTATATACGAACTAGGACATAGTATAACTTGATCATCGATCGACTAGACGGTATATCAATGTTGGATATGTTGTAATTGCACGAGCAAGGTATAATCAGAGCACATGAAACTCATGAATAACTAATGTGTAGCCGTGTATATCATAAATACCATCTAGAAAATACTATCTATTCATATTTTAATACAATATTTTGCAACATGGAGTTAAAATGTTTGATGAATGCGTGAATTATTCAATTGTTGAACAAAATGTACAAAATATATTATAGGACGACCTATTGAATCCAGTCACCAAAATGCTTAACTAATTCACTTATCATTATGCGCTACGTTGCCAGGACAACGCTTTGTCTGAACAAACTATGGCTAATAATAAGTGACACAGTGGTATCATAGGACTAAATGCCATTATCTATTATTCAGTAAAACCATTACGTAATACACGAGCATAGAAATGCAAAAGGTCCATAGTGAAAACAAATATGAGAATACTCGGTATTTACAAATGCATGCCTGAACATATCGAAACCACTAATGAGTAGAGTAAACGTAATTTGCATGACCCACTAAATTACTAAACATTAGTTATTCATGAACTCCATGTCCTGTGATTATGTCTTACCAGTGTAATTACAACATATTCAATATTGGTTATCTGTCTAATCATGGATGCCGTGAAGTTAACGTCATGGGATCCATATTTATATTCGATGACAGCTGAACATACGTCAACTCTACATTCAAAACCTTCTGAGACTATATAAAATCGAAGCAGTTTATTCAGAACATCTAACAAATTAACATTAAATTAATCTTGTTTGCGTGGATGAAGGCGATAAATGAAACGTGTTTCGCATTAATGAACTTGATACATTCTTCCACAAATGACCATAGTTGTGATCTACTCAAGCGGCTGTCTGATCTTAATGATACATTATGTTATTCCCACAGATAATGCTTCCAATATCATGGTATTTGTTTGAAAGTCACATTAATATAAGTGCCTTAAAAAACTTTGACTCGATGTAATAGTAAATCTACCAAAGAACATACAACCTCTAACGAAACTGAAACATTTGTTATTCACAAGTCATTTATGCCATATACAAGTATCAAGGATGACATAACTGCGTGGGTACCTTGCATAGTTTTATTCGGTATCATAAAACACCATGGAAATGTATTGCCGAGTCATCTACTATCAAATAGAGGCTTCAAAAATACTATGTGCCATCTTTTCATACTTCCATGTATAATTTTTTTCACTGTTTTAACGTGGTATCTAGGTGTTGTTTTAAATCATGGACTAGTAATTTTGATATGTCACTTTTGTTCAATATTATATGGTTGGGTAGTTATTTTCACTTTTCTAAAGACACGTTAACAAGTACTCAAGGAACGTGTTACATATTATTTTAGCTTTATCTTTTCTCCCGCGGTGTCTTTAATGCGAGAAAGTCTCAAGGCTTTTTGTATTCTATCTGTGACAAATAATCAAATCACTATAAATCAAGCTGGCTCATCTACAATGGTTATTTTATCATTATGTCACTATAAGTTGATATACCTCTCATAGCAGTTATGTACATGTTTTGAATAATACTTCAATCGGATTTCCGGAAAACTGAACTGAATGTTATGTATATATTCGTGATTCAATTAAAATTACTTTTATGTTTCATAAATACCATCTAGAAACTACTATCTACTCGTAATTCTTATTTCAATACAATATTTTTGCAACATAGATTGAACATATTTTATGGACGTAAAAAAACGTTTACGTCAGTAAAAATAAAAATGTCATTCATTGGCATGATGCATAACTTATTCTGGAAATAAATAAAAGCTTATTTTAATTTGACATTCATCAAGTGATTATATTTCAACTATATATTCAACTGACAATCAAAGAACCACTTAGCCTGCAGATTATTCGAACCTATACCGTTACGTTTATTTTGACTCAAAAAATCAAATTCATACTCTGTTTCTGTTAGGAACAGACCTATTCATTAGGGCTTTGATTGGTAATGACAACTGACACTTGTGCATTATCATTTACAGCATTTCTTGGCTAAATTATATATGAAAGAAATTATATTCAAACCAAAGTTATTTTACTTTGGCATTTACCTGTACTATAATTGAAGTTTCTGAAAATTACTGTTTTATTTGTTGTAATTAGGTAATCATTCCAACTATCGATTTCAGAATTTAAGTAAATTTTATTTTTGTCATTTGAAGCAATTTGTTTTACATTGCAAAATATTATGTCATATCTGTGACAAATTATAATAGTGATAATATATAAGAAGCATGATTAGTTACAGCATTGCACACTTTTCTTAATTGTTTGAGGCGAGAAAAAACAACAGAAAATGCCAGTTCACAAGTTGAGAGTTCGAATCCCGAAATATTCATATGTTCGTAAATTTGCCTGTAATTTTGATTACATACCCGGTGTGTTATGCCATTTAATGCATTGAGATGATAAATTTTGAATGTATGTGTAGTTATTGAAAAGACAGTGAAAAAATAGCTGTATAATTTAGTGTTTAGAAGAATCTTCTAAGTTCCATTTATATTTCACTCACATTTTGTTGTTCTTGTTAGGCTATGTATGTATGTAATTGTGTATGTGATTTTATAGATGTCTAGCTGCATTTCCCTTGAGCTAAGAACATGATATTTATTTAATAACATATGAATAATACAGTCTGTTTTTTTTGTTTCAGTTAATTTCCACTCTGAACACGATTGAATCAATTACAGGCATTCTCTGTGAATAATGACACACTTGGAAAATCAAAGGGCTAAAAAATCCCCATGAATTAGATTATTGGAAAAAATAAACCCGCACTAAATAATATAATAAAGATAAATGAGTCAGAGGTAAAACTATTAAACTGTATTAACTAGCACGACGTATATGCATTCTTGTAATCATAAAACACTACATGGTCTCGATGGAGCGAATATTCGAATGTTAATAGAATTATACAATCATAAAAGAACAATTTAAACTAAATTATGTATATTTCCCCTTGCTTTAGTTTTTCGGAGTGACAAAATATATCATGGTCGTACCTACGTGATCCACATCAAATGTTAAATTACATTTACAAATCGTCTGACGTGACTACCTTAAATACTTATTCTAGGGCAGTTGTTACTATATTCAAAGTATGTACGGTAGTCCGTTAATGTAATTTGTATCTGTCAACAATTATCTCACATAAATAATATAACTACACAATGTGTTAACAACATAATGCATACACGTGTCAGAAAATTATAATCATAGTTTAAGAGAATATTAATTATCAATAATTTATCTTTAACTTGTTACTGTTAATTTATATCTAATTGCAATTTATATGATTTAATCACGGGGTTAAGCATAATTTATGAATTGATTGTACATGTGAATAGAATGATTGAATGCAAGGTTTGTGCGCGCAGATTGTGATAAATATAATTTAATATTTAATATACAAGAGACATTTTATGTGTATTGGCATAACGAGGTTCGGTTTATCATCTGCTGTTCAAATGTCTCATCAATGTTTCGTTTATCACCAGCTATATGGTAAGATTATTACCATTAATTAACATCTACTTCATATTTTGTATACTTACTGTAAACTCTATATTCGAACTAGGACGTAATATAACTTGATCATCGATCATTTTATTCGCAGCTGACTTGATATACATGCTTTTAGTGTTATTTGCATTCCACGTATGTTTGTTTATAATTAGTTAGTTAGTGTGAGCGTGAATTATTCAATTGGTGAACAAAACGTACAGAATAAATGATATGACAACCCATTGAAGCCAGTCACAGAGCTTCTGATGCAATGTTGCTTTTATAAGTGAGTGGACACGGGTCGATTACGAACTCGTCGGTTGAGTAGGACTCTTGTTCTTACAAAATTAATATATGAATCACCGACATGCATTACTAATTTACGTACGTTGCCATGGAAACGCCTTTGTCTGAACAAAAAAAGGACATGCGGTAAATGACAGACCATTGCAACTCAGAATATGTGCATACCAGAGTTTTCAAAATGAAAACTTTCATAAACTATTATATAAGGCTTCGTCGGAGATTGAATAACTAGTCTCATTAAAATGTTAGGCCTGTTGGCAACTATAATAGTAATTGTGATTCTATACTGTCCCAATGCACTTATGTAGACCATGTAAACACTGATTGATAATGACAGCTGACACATGTGCAGCGAGATCTTCATTTTTTGGCTACATTACATATGGTCGAAAAAATAACCAAACTTATGTTTCATTGAAGCATTTTACCACCTACCTGTGAAAAATGCTGTGTCTCAAAATATTTGTAATAATTAGGTAATAATCATGCCAACTATCGATTTCAGAATTCAAGTAATGATTTTTGTCATTTAAAGCACATTTTTGTTCACATTGCAAAATCATATCCAATATATGTGATTCTAACAGCATTTCGAACAGCGATTATGTATAAGAAGCATGTGCGAATCAGTTACGGCATTGTCCACTTTTCCTAATTGTTAGAGACGAGAAAGGTGAGGAAATGCCAGTTTACGAGTTTCGAATTCGAAATGTTTATATGTTCGTAAATGTGCCTGAAATTTGGATTACATACCCGAGGTGGGAAATGTTGAATGCATGTGTGGTTATTTAAAAGATAGTGAACTCCAGTGAACAAAAAATACCTGAATAATAATTGAGGATTTAGTAGAAACTCACAAGGGCTCTTTATATTTCACTCAAATCTTGTTCTTGATGCTAGGCTATGTATGCATGTAATTGTGTATGTTACTTTATAGAAGTCGAGCTGCAATTCCTTCAGCTTAGAACAAGATTTTTATTTAAAAAAACACATTAATACAGTGATGCGAGTTTTACTTTTAGTTCGCCACTGTCAATAAAAAGATTGTATTTGTCTCATCAATCATTTGTGAGGGAAGATTACAACGATAGATTACTTTGATACTGTGGCATATAACAATCAGTATTATTTAATATTTTAAGCTTCTTTCGGAGCATACAACATACATAAAGGTTGCATGACTATAGCCATGGTAACGGTAATTGTGCGGCAAACCTAGTCAATGATGATCATTTTTAATTCGAACAATTCTATATAAAATAAATATAACTTTCCTGATAAAAGAATAATTTCAAATATAACCCTTCGGTAGACAGATCGATATATCTGTTTTATTTTTATTTTCACTCTGAACACAATTGAATCAATTACAATCATAATAATTACACAGTGGGAGAATGAAAAGACTATAAAATCACAATAAATTAGTTTTTTTGGAAAAAAAAATCAACTCGCAGTTAATATAATTAGGATAAATGAGTCGTGGGTAAAATGATTACACTGGATTAACTAGCATGTCTTAAATGCGTTCTTGAAACATTAAACACCGGAAGAACAAATTTCAAATCATTGATCATTAGGAATAACAAGATTTATATATCTATACATGAATACGTTTTCGTACACATAGTACATTTCAATTTCGCAAGAAATTATGCGTCTTCAGACTGAATAGTTTTTTCTGTAACTGATATAGCTTGTCAAGAGGTCATTAACAATATTTCCCCAACATGCGTAAGGTATCTTTACTATACGCACACAAGCAAGTTAAATTAGGTAACGTCAACCTCTTAGTTGGGTTCTTTAACAATGTTGGCAATTAAATTAAATCTTGTACAGTATTGGGGTCAAACATTAATATGTCGTGACCAGCCTAAAGTAAAAAGGACGCAAGTAGTAAGTTTGAAACAATATTTAATAAAAAAAAATAACCTTTATAAATTACAGACGTGGTGAAATCCCGCTCGAACAATTTATTTATAACTCATGTAGAATATTTTATTCTGTTTTCAGCGTTCATGCACCTAAATGCATATACTTTATTCACACATTACAACTGAGAACAATTAACAATTGCTCAATGCTGGTTTCATATGCACGCCAATTTGTTTTGCTTTATAATCCAATTTACCTAATATTCTTGCCAATTTTGTACCCTAAAATGGCAATTTATCCAAATACAAACATTGATTACGTCATTTATAATTTGAATTTGTTGCATAATATATCCTACAAAGATGTTCTTTCATACATTTCTTTACAGGATTACGGAATCACAATTGTCCTACGACAGACATGGGTAGATACACGGCTAGAGTACAATGCTGTAAAGCAACATATACCCCCAACTAGTGAACTCTTGGAGCGTATCTGGGTTCCTGATATGTTCTTCACCAACGAGAAAGATTCCCACTTCCATGACCAGACAAGGGACAATGTGCTACTTCGAATTTCTCCATCTGGGGAAATACTTTATAGTACCAGGTAGGTAAGGTATAGAAAGTATAATTGTAAATATTTAAAATGTTCAATTGCTTAAAAGAAAGCTCCCGTTTGTATTTCCGGAAAAAATGTCACCATACATTAGATTTTATTCCAGCAATATTTCTACTGTCAACACTCCGCCGTTTTACTATATTGTACTGTAAAAATATGCACGTGATACATATATATTCCTTCACCATGTTCTCTTAGGCTCGGATTGATACCAAATCACTCGTATCTACTGACGTCAACCGTTGTAGGATTATATATAAATATTAAAAACTCGGGGTTTATTATATTGCTCGAAATATGAGTAACATTAGCAAAATATGTAAAATCAGTAGCGGGTATGAATTATCATGTTTAGCTAGTCACTGTACATCCGCGTACACTACACGCCATTTCGAGCCGTCTTTTACGGTGGTTGGAATAGCGTAATTAGGTGCACGTCTAACTATAGCGACGCGGTGCTTTGTCGTGGTCTTCAAATCGAAACGTGTGTGTCGCTTGTTTAAATATTGTTCGCATTAGGCATGTAAATATATAATTGAATACAGCATATGCGCACAAGTGAAAAACAATGGGTGAAAGGTTAAACTTAATGCACCTTATGTTATAGGCTTATAAACAGTTTGTATTCATATGAATACATAATCAATTAGTGCTACGTTACATCGTGCAATAAAATAAGAAATAGCCAGGGAAGGGAGGCAGATATATTCGACGTTCCAAGGAACAGTGCAGAAACAATATTCACACCTTGTTGATGGAAATGTGGATAAATATCTGAGACGAATACAATAAGTGATTTGTATACACGCATATGATCAATGGATTGCAGATAATAATGCAATCCTATTTCAATTTACCGAAAGCAGTTTTTTTAATAATGTTTCTGCATCTGTGACAGATCAAAAGGACACCGAATAATTGGAAATGTAGATATACAACATAAAATAATAACAGATACGTTACATGTGTGTGTAAGTCCATGACAACGAACCTTTGTTGAATGATATTCACATACAGTAAATCTAACAAATATCTTATTCGTAACCAAACTAAACACGTACAGTCACTTTATGTCGAATTTACCAAATCCAAATACGATTTTATTTATTTTAGTTTTCTGACATAGAATGTATGTAATATGTATATTTGCTTAATGAAAATAAACATTACAAAAAAAACATGAATTTGTACTGGAAAACAATTTAACGTCCGCTGGTATATGGAATATGCCATCAATGCATCGTCACATAAGTGAGAAGAAACACAATCATTCACACAATGAGAATAAGTCTGTCAAATAGTGAACACCAAGCACCTACTAAACACATTGAAGAATAGGAGCATAGAATAAACAGTATTACAAATTCTCCATGGAAGGACAAAATCACTACATACTGTGAATTTATGGAAATAATAACAAATATGGTGTGATTCGCCGAAGTTTCGTCTACTTGCATGATCCCTACAATTGACGTCACGAGAAGATCATAATCGATACAGATTTATCGTCTTTATCGGTCAGATAATAAACCAGGGACTCTGTTATTGTTTCTGTAATATTATTTTGATTATCATGATATTGTCTATGTATATGTTATAATGTTTGTTTGTTTAAGTTTCCTTTCAAGTTCACCGCGCTGTAACACATTCGAATAACAAGTGAGAACTGATCCTAGCAAACCTTTTGATTCTCACAAATCCGCCAGCGGTGTAGGCAATATAATCAAAAGCAACGAAAAACAATTTACGTTGTGATTTCTATCCAAATCATATCGAACAATAACACCACATCGTAACATTTGCTCGTGGAAAGTAGTGGGATGTCAAAATAACTATCAATATTCACACTAAGGTGTCATGTCATTACATGTTCAACTAAAAGGCATGGTTATATAACTACTTAAAGGGCGGTGGTCGTCGCGCAGCACGTGTTCGAATTTCATATAAACAAACAATGTATTTTACACGCGTTGTATACGTCGCTATGAGTTCCATATCGAACAGGACGCGGCACGACGACTACCACCCTTTAATCCCTGTCAAAATCATTCAAAGTATGAACAATAATTTGTATGGTTATTTCACACGCGAACGTAAGGACAATATATGTAAAATGTCTATCCCAGGTCATGAACATTGTAGAGAATAACATTTTGTCAATGAACACTATGTCTAATAGTTCTGGTTGAGGCCAAACAGGGTATTTTAGAACTCTACATTCACGTCATATTACAGTGTACATATCAGAGAACATTTGTCATGCCCTCGCAGTATATATTCTTTGAATAGTGGACAATAGAAGATTATACTATGTTAGTTCAATTGTTTTTATGTCACTTGTTTACTTATAATGCAATTTACCCATACACCCAATTTATCAATACACTGATCTGGTGAACAAATAGTGTAGCGAAACGTGGAAAGCGAAGAGAAAACTGTCGATCATGATCTCAATAGGAAATCTAATGAGAATGTGATGAGTTTATAATGATTGTGCTATAATGACAGGGACTTATTAAGCCTTAGGGCTCCAAAGGTGTGTTAGGAATTCCTGATGAAATTTCATGCTAGAACACCAAAATCAAGCATCAAAATCACTAGCAAAATATTCATGAAACTTGCATAAAGAAATGAATCAATAGAAATTACTGTACAAGGCGTCAACAAGTCTCAACACATGCAAGAAACTATCACGTACCTTTGACGCTGGGTCACTTCCTCCACGTAAAAAAAAACAGTATCATAATCACCTATATAACAAACCTTCCTTCACGCACAAGAAATGATTATGTTGCAGCCACGTCATGAATCAATAACGAGGCATCTTTCATGTACAAGAAATGGTCATGAAGCACCCCTGACGTATGTTCATGAATAGCCTTTCTTTATGTACCCGGGTCGTGTAGCACTCTTGAAGTACCTACAGAACGAGCCTTTCCCAACGTACACAATTGTCATGTAGCACTCCTATGAAAGTACCTACCAAGTATTTCTTAACGTACACGGAATTGTCGTGTAGCACTCTTATTAAAGTACCTACCAAGTCTTTCTTAACGTACACGGAATTATCGTGTAGCACTCTTATTAAAGTACCTACCAAGTCTTTCTTAACGTACACGGAATTATCGTGTAGCACTCTTATTAAAGTACCTACCAAGTCTTTCTTAACGTACACGGAATTGTCGTGTAGCACTCCTATGAAAGTACCTACCAAGACTTTCTTAACGTACACGGAATTGTCGTGTAGCACTCCTATGAAAGTACCTACCAAGTCTTTCTTAACGTACACGGAATTGTCGTGTAGCACTCTTATTAAAGTACCTATATGACAAATCTTTCTTAACATGCACAATTGTCATTTAGCACTTCTATGAAAGTACCTACATGACAAATCTTTTTAACGTACACGGAATTGTCGTGTAGCACTCTTATGAAAGTACCTATATGACAAATCTTTCTTAACATACACAATTGTCATTTAGCACTCCTATGAAAGTACCTACCAAGTCTTTCTTAACGTACACGGAATTGTCGTGTAGCACTCTTATTAAAGTACCTATATGCCAAATCTTTCTTAACATACACAATTGTCATTTAGCACTCCTATGAAAGTACCTACCAAGTCTTTCTTAACGTATACGGAATTGTCGTGTAGCACTCTTATTAAAGTACATACATAACAAATCTTTTTAACGTACACGGAATTGTCGTGCAGCACTCTTGAAGTACTTACATGACAAATCTTTCTTAACATATAAGAAACAGTCATGCATCACATTTGATGTTCCTACAAGACAAGCTTTTCTGTCACGATGTTCTATCTTCTATGTTAACATGCTTCACTATCACTGTGCATAGTGGAGGAACTCAATGCAGGTTCGTGGGCACTTGGAAGTGACATTTTTGTTGTTGATATATTAGAAATTGCCGAAGATTAAAACACTAGAAATTGTTGTTATGTCTTAATTGCATTGAATGTCACTGTGTTTGTTAAGTCATATTCATGTCTACCTGGTAAGTTTTAATTTTCGCCACGGTTTGATGAGTAGATGCCATATAATGTATATTGTTTAACGTGACTAATCCAGGATGGAAGTAGGAATTATATTAACAATGCAGTAAACCACTCGTGTCGTCACGCTAATGCTACTGATAATACGTGACTACAAAAAATGACATTTACTGTAACCAGTAACGACAATGGGGCTCAATGTTAGTCATCGGTCTACTGAGCGCGAACGAAAAAGATTAATTTTATGACCAAGTTGACATATTTTTCCGTTATACAAAATGCAGGTGTACGGATACCAAAATAATATAAATTATACTTTGTTCAATCGATGCAGGCTCAATGGTGTGATTGTTAGTTTACTTTTTCTTTCTCAGACAGTGTATGACAGTTTCGCGTGAACATCAATTGTGAGAGATAATTATTATGACGTCCGGGTCAACTGAAAACCACAAGACCGTTAGACCCAAGCTCAAATGCTACATTAGGCTGAACATCAAACGGGTCGACCCCTGCCCTTTGTGAGTGTGCCACAGACTCAATGAGAAGGCATATTCCACTAGCCGTGATTCATTCACTAACGAATGCGGCTTTGGGGGAACCTTGGTTAAGGTCCGCAGGTGCTTGTGTTCGACCGAGACTGGTTGACGCCAGGATAACGCATTGAAATTGCCATTTGATAGAGAGATGGCGACACAGCCCTGCCATGTAGTCCCAACCATAAATATGGCAAAAATGCACTATGTGTTAACACTAGCACTTGCAACTTGCACATACAAAAAACAGCGAAATTCAATTTCCGGAACTGTCCCCTGACACAAAAATACTATTTAAAAAAAAAACACAAAAAAAACACCACAAGTCGAGATAATGGACAGTTTGCTTAACCACATTGTATTCACTCAAAAATGTTGATGCTAATAATTAAAATGACTGTTATATGCACAAATCTAAACTGATTAGAAACTGATTTCGTAAAAAGTTATATAATACATACTATGGAGATTCCGATTTTGCCTGTTTTCTGTATTTTAAAATATTTTTTTGAGTATGTCTCACCATTGACAAAAGGAACCCGGAGTTGTAATGGTAACCAACCAAACAACTATCTAATGAAGATTTGTTATACATGCCAGGTGAGCCATAATACTTGTCCTAATTTAGGTAAATGTTCGGGACAAATGATTCTCTAATGTTTCTGAATTATGCTTCACATCTGTGAGTACAAGATGCATTGATATTACAGAGTGTGTAGGTCGTAAAATTTAATTAAACGACTTTTGATATTATTTTCCGACATATGCGAGTCAAAAAGATGTCACGTTACAATTGCGTTTTGTACAAGATATCTTTTCCTGACATGAAGGAATGTGAATAACAAAATTCAAAACCAATGATAATAACCGTGAATAAATCAGTCTAGTAAAATAAATAATAGAAAAGCAATCAAAAGTAATATTGCTCATTACAAAATTAAATTGCTCTAACGATATATTATTGAATAAATTTACTCGCGTTATAGAGTAGTATACGTTCATGTACGTATTTGTTTATTTTATCAATATGGATTGTGTGACATGGGTTTTGAAAGAAAAATAAGAAATTACAGACTGTATTACATCTGGTGTGAAAATTGTATCAGAAATGCGTCTTTTTTGTGCACAATCACTTCATATTCCACGAACCACTCTAATTAAGACAAACAAAAAACAACACACTGCAGTACAAATAAAACGCAATGTAACAACACATTTCCGGTTAAATGAACAGTTTAATAATACGCACATGCATGTTCGATAAAAAACGAGTAATAAATTAACTTGATGAAATAAATAGAAGCATTATTCGTAGGTATACGACGTCAATAAATCCTGGAATGCCGTGCGATATTTAAGTAATCAGCGCTAGCTACGCATACAGTGTGGTGACTAACGTCGGACTGTATAATCATGTTGTTAGATGCTTATCTCCTGGTTTCACATACAACATTACTCGATAAATATTGCAGTTGTTTGACCTGCTAACAAATTAGAGGTGAAAAGAGAAAACGCCGACAAACATCAACGGTGATTCAGTATTTTTATGACGTATTATATGACGTCTTAGACCGCTGAAAAGTCAATACGCAAATGTTTCGACCACCAATTGCATGAATCTTATTTGCTAATAGGGCTATGGGGTATAATACTATTATTTATTACACCTGTGACTACGTATGACATTTTAACAAGATAAGGCATGTATTCCGATTCAATATCGTTGTCTGATACGCATGTGAGTATGTGTACTCGTGAACTTTAAATCGTAAAATAATAATAATAATGATAAGTTAATGCCGTTTCCATGGGACCCACTAAAAAGATGTCAATTATGATGCGTAATAAACAATATATCATCTCTATAATCCTTGTTTTATGTCATTTGACTAATTATCTTTAGATAATGGGATATTTCCCCGAAACAATGATAAACTGTCCTGCCAAATAGGAGATTATGTGTCTTGTCCGTCATACCATCGTCAATATAGCTTAATACCCCCAGGATATCGAAGATGAAACATAAAATTGGAGTCACCCATCGGACGATTTTTCCAGATACAAGCGACCGAAATGTCATGATAAATTGGTCATTTTACACATGTTTCTATGGTGATATTATTTATGCATATTTTAGTATTGTACTCGGTGACATCGAAATGAAAATCGTGAATTGTATTTGATATGAATCTTGATATTATGACAACTTTTCAGAAAATTGACATAACTTATTATGTGTTTCCAGGGTGATAATAATTTGTCATTATTTACAATTAGAGGTTATCTCCCATAATGCATTGCATATATCTGCATTGACATGCTCAGGCAAACCTTGCTTTATTCACTCAGTATTATACATCAAATATTGACTTTCGTGTATGAAGTACACAATGGTATTCTTTGAAGTAACCATGTATGGATATGTGTATAAACATATGTCTACTGTTTGAATAACCAATAATCTCACCTCAATGAAACTTGTTACATAAATGCTCTGGGAAAAGGCACAGACCTGATTAGTTTGAGGTTAAAATCTTTGCTTATTTATTACCAATGTGTATTATAATTAGTAAATTTTCGGCCTTACCACCGGATCTTTTACCACCGACCGTTGCATAGTATACTATCCACTGCTGTCTGAGTGCATACTGAGGTAATTATAAGACGATATGAGTAATTTTGAATAAGTCAGTGCACATCAATGCATAATTTATATAATAATTATTACATTTTTAAAATGTTCTACCGATATCTAAAAACACAATTTTTGCATTGGAATGAAACTTGGTACATACGTACCCGAACACAATGTTCTGGTTTTCCACAAATAACTCAATATCTATATAATGTGCTCGAGGGGGGGGGGGTCCATGTAAATACATGGGTCCATTGATCACGTAACCTTCATAAATCATCATAATATTGAATGTCTCAAATAATCAGAATTAAATCAAACTTGTTCAATTGGACTAAAAAACAAATGTACAATCAAAATTTGCTATTCTTATTTCTTTACTAAGAGCGTTATTCGAAAATAATTAAAATAAACAGCTTTCGCATTCCGCATCTCAAATGGCAAACCTATATTAGTCGCCAGGCGTTTTGTTTGAAAGGTTGATCTTAAATTTGTAATTGATTTTGATTATTCCACATTTTCACTTTATATGCCTCCACATACTCTTAGCACAGACTTTTCTAAGAACGAAATATGTTTTTTCTTTAGTTGCGTAGCGTATAGTAATAATTACATTTTTTTGCAGACTCACTTTAACAGTGGCTTGTCATATGCAGTTAAGTCGATTCCCTATGGATGAACAACACTGCAAACTGAAAATGGAAAGCTGTGAGTATAGTGTTTAATTTTCTTACCCTTACCACAAATTGTAACTGCAATATATTTAACCAAACAAAATCGTCACCTACGCATGCGCGGGAATTGAGTCCCAAGCGACGATAACAACGCACATTAAAAACGTGAAGGCTCATAGGTAGACGCTTGTTTGAAAACGCAGGCTTTGACCGTCTGCCACATGCGCAGGTGACCCCCCGGCTTTAATTATGTGCACTCATGTAAACTAATAACAAACTAAGAAACTAAGTGTAATGGGACATTTACTTTTAACGACACTTTGCATTAAAATGTCGCGTCGTTGACATGTGACGAATGGTCGATACTGCCATTACAGACAACATCTAATAGCTACCCAGACACACGTAACGAAGATACACTGTGTGTGTTTTCAACATAAAAGTCATCAAGCCACACGGACATTGCGTAATGGAATACTTTTCACTCTAATGATGACCACGGCGCCGGGCTAATGTGTTTTACGGTCGCAAACATGTGTAATTTATTAGCTAATACACCATCGTCAAAATTTAAATCTTGAAAGTAATGCCCTAATCAGTCAGGTCACCCGACACTCATCAACACACAACAGTTTGTATGACACTGTGCATTTATACACTGCTAACATTTGTACATTTGTATATTGAGTTACGTAATTGGTAGGTATGCAAATTATTATTAGCGCCTATGATATATCGCTTCGGGTCAGATGTCAATGGCATTACTCACCGTTATATAATTTATTACAGGCAATAATATGAGATTGACTTATACAAATATACAAAACCTGTGCCTGATTATGTAAAACAGATGATTTATGAGAATTACAAATGCTTCAGTCAAATCAACCCCACGTTCATTCGTGACAAATCATATGGAAATACATATGTATAATTCCAATTCGGTTAACAGACATTGGTTCCCAGAAAATGGTATTAGTTTTTAGAAACATGGTATTGGTATTTATGCGTCTGGTGTGTTTGTTGTGTGCCTACCTATATACCTAACTGCAGTGAATATACGTATATGTCTCGTACAAGAGAACATAATTGGTTTTGTGATGTTTCAACGACTTTCTGTATCAATTGGAATAATTCGCAAAGCATGGTCAGCAAACCAACCGTGTGTTATAATTGAATAATGTAACATGTCTGTCATGACATTTGCATTTCATTCACGCACGCAGACCGATAATTTGCTTCATGTCGACACCTATGGATAGCCTGTATTGAATCATAATCACACACATGTCACCCCTCTCCATGGCGCCAATAATCTTGTGGGTGGTTATTGCAGATGCCTAAGTGATCAGACACATATGCCAGATGTCTAAAGGATTAGACAGTTATTAAAAACCTCAAAGATGCCCCAATAGATATATGAATGCAGGGAAATTGTATTTGAAATTGTTAACATACGTTAATGAATTCGTTTGATCTGTTTAGCCAATACAAGCTCATGCTATGTTATGCTATCAGATTAATCTCAGTTGTACATTCACTTTGTTATCTATTGATCATGAGGCGATTTTTTTTTTACAATGTTGACGAATGACTGGCACGGACTAAATATGACCACGTCATCGTGAACCTGACAATAGCCCAAAGGACAGAAATATATTCCAAGTGAGATAGGAAAATGTCCGTCATGTCTTACAAATCTCTTGTTAACAGCCTTCTGGGAAATTCGCCCAGTTTATTTCCTTTAGGCGAACTACACAATTTGTCGATGTTAATTTCCTGTGCGAGATCAGAAACGGCTGATATAAAAATACTAACAGACGTATCAGCAATATTTACTTATACCGTCTAAGAATATTTTTTATTCAAAGGTCTATGTTAGTCGTTCCGCGTCTTGGCCGATATCGGCACCACGCCACGTGTACAACATGTGTACAATATATTGTTTGATTACGCTTTAATAGTTCTAATATATATGCATCAACAGTCGCGACTACATATTGTAAATGTTAATTTGTATTCAATCTAATACTGATCACAATATGCACACTGAATGCAAGCTAAATAAAACTGCAATATTGCGAAAATTCAAAATGCGAGAAACAATGACTGTACAACGCAGTTGGAGGTTAGTAGTGATCATGCTCGGAATTGTGTAAAAACATGACAGGTGTTGGCAACATATAACATTTCCACACAATTTATACAGGATATATTTGGCCTTAACAAAGCAAAAATTCTACAACCAATTCTACTGTATCATACGTGTATGAATTTACAATAAATGAGCTATAAATTCCACCCGTGTCGTGTTACATGCTGTTTTATTGTGTTTGCTTTAGTAAAACATGCGATGAGGCAAGTTAGTCGCCCTGTCCGTGTTAATGTAATAACTCCGGGTCTTCTCTTAAAATATTATTAATGCTTAGTCATTCGTTTATTTTTATGTTCAAAAGTGACAAATACCAGCTGAGCGCTGCTATTCAATTTCATCTCAATTTTAACACCCACTCGTCTTCCCGAGAGAAGCGGTGAGAAAAGTTCCCACAGCAGACGCTTTGGCTCTCGAAATATTAAATTGGTGCAATATACTTAGTTCTGATATTAATAATTAAAGCACACGGAGTTAACACTCTCTATTTTAGCACGCAAGGAAATATTTGTATGCATGTATATTTCACATATTGTGAGGTTTGCGTGTTACCCATAATGCCTATTTTATGCAATGAATTGTTCAAGCTTATATATTGGCTTTATATATTGACATAATAAAGCACTATACTGCCATTATACGAGGTTACCGAAACGTCACACACTCATGGTTCAACATAAATGAGATGACTGGCTAACACGCATCTAATATGTAAGCGTATAAAAAGAAATAAGGGTATTTTGAAATGTCATGCCTATAGGCAAATAATAACATAAATATATCAGTACAACCATGTGAATAAGTGATGATCACGTCGAGAACAAAACACCGAAAATCATTTCCACCTCAGGAAAGTGTTGTGAAGTATGTATGCTATAACGCTGTTGCCCACTAAGTGAGGAGAAATGTGTGGTTTTTTTTTATTTAAGATAACATTCAGTGTCTTCTGAAAAAGACAAGACCCAAGACTTATCAGCATTTCTTTTGGTACAACTATTATACAAAATATGTTTCAGTATGGAAATGTAAAGCTGTTGATTTATTTGATTAATGGCATGTGTTTTGTTATTATTTCAGCAACATAATTGAAAGATACACGAGAAAATAAAAATACGATGTATTGCATTACAAAAGACAAAAACAGAATGGTACAAACAGTGTTATGTTATGTTTGAATTTAACAATTTAACATCTAAAATAATATCGAAAACTCTTCCACATTAATACAAAGAAATTAACCAGTTCAGGCAAAGCAAAGTCCCCCATCAATAATTTACTTCTTGTTTTAGCGAGTTTTGTCCAGAGCCTATTGGTAATGCTTTAATCGTAAAAAAGTTAATTACAGTCTCCTTATCATTACCGCATAACGCAGATGGAACTAAACATATTTTACATAATTTATTGTTTCATCTCAAAATGTTATGTAAGAGCTTCCATTGAAAGTTTCTTAATTTACTATCAAATGTCAGATTAAAAGGCACACGTATAAAGGCAATATGTCATTGCCCAATTAAGAAGAGTCTTTAGTTCGTTATGAAAATATAATTCAGAGCATCTTGCCATTAGGGTAGTAAGAGAAACACGAGTTAGGAATTGAATTTTATTCAGATATTTTTTACTAAGTTACTAAGCATGCTACTACAACAACCTGTACTTTATCTGAAAGCTTGAATAGGTAAATACGATCATTCGCGTGATTGAGAAACTAAAATAACTGTGTTTATAATAGTTGAAATAGTCAAGAAGGCTCAATTACAAAATTGGGCGACAAACTTCGGTACTACATGTGCACTACATGCTTACAGATTATGTATAGATTGTTATATTTCCCGGGTTAGTAACTATGAGATGTACTGTTCACATAGTTTTAACTCGCCCCCCCCCCATGTTGCTACATTAATTAACCCGGACCGAGAAACACCTGACATGCCAGTATTGATACAGATACCTCGAAGCGATTAAAATAACTCATTTTGTGATTATCAGTATGACCTGCAGAAAATGTTGAATAATTCACAGTACATTACGTTACCATAGACTTGCCTATATTAAGTCGGCAAGTAGAGGGACACAATCAGTCCTATTCGATTGTATAATTTTAATTACTTATGTGGTATGGTATGGTATGGTATGGTATGGTATGGTATGGTATGGTATGGTATGGTATGGTATGGTATGGTATGGTATGGTA